ACCCCCCCCCCCCCCCAGAACATAGTGCATGGCAAAGAAAGCAAACAACCAGTTTATCCAGAGGTAATGAAACATGAAAAGCAATTCTCCGCCCAACTTGGCCTGCCAATTAGATTTAAAAGTCTACTTAGAGTGATTTGAACTCAGTTAGCCAGTGTGGTAGTTATGGTATTCGATGCCCATCGTCACGTGTGGACTCCTATGCGTAAGTTATTCAAGAGAGAGGTGAAAATCCCTCTTATTTCATTGGATCAGAAAGTAAATCAATTCCAACATTTGTGATCCGTAAAGAGAGTGGGCTTCAGTTTAATACGATTGCACATTTATTGCTCACTGCCTGCTTCAGTCTGCTTAGACTGCAACTGTTCCCCTCCCCCACCCCCGGTTTTAGCCAATCGAAGTGGATTACTCCACATACAGTTCACAAAGTGCATTAAAGATGTTCGTTAAGGTCCACCACAGGGATATCTTAAGGGATTGAATGGGTGTTCGATGTGGATATAACCATGTTTTTTCCCAAATAACATTGTCATGAAAGTTCTTCCTCTTGTCCCTAATAAGAGTTTGAAGTAAAAGAAGCCGAATATTTTGCCGCGGCAACAAAGAAATGCACTCTTGTTATACTGAGAGAGAGAGAGTTGAGGCTGTGACATCCAAGTTCCCATCCTATTCAATTCACCGATACGCCGCAAATTTGATGCTGTAGCGCCCCAATTTGGCGAATACTTTACTTTCCTGTGCCAATTTAAATCTAGAAAACTAAAAGTAAGATAATAGGGTGTGCGATAGACTTACCTCCAAGTGGTGCATCCTGAGCAATGACAAAAAGTCTATAAACCAGAAGTTGACTCCTGACTTCAAACTACCATCACCCCGCTGTATGTCATATTCCACCACATTCACAGTACTCGCCTCACCTTGCCTTCTTCTCTATCGTTGTCTGCCTCTTTTACATCTTCAAATAATTCCTCTGTTCTCCTCCCCCCCCCCCCCCCCTCCCCTCCTTGATTTTTGGTGACATTGTCTGCTCCTCTTCACTGTGAAGCCCGAAGTCAGATAAAGGACTACTGATAACTATCTTAGAGCCTGCCATTTCATGCAAATAAATGAATTAAGATAACGGGGGATTCTGGGCCCTTGAACACTAATCGCAGCAATGGCTTTAATAACTTGAGCGCAATGACTATTGTGATCTCCGTCTCCTAAACAATGAAAAATATAATTTCTTGCTCAGAATCAATTTAGAACAATTTGTCCACCAGCGAGAGAGAGAGAGAGAGTTATTTCTTTCATCGTGTCTGGACACGACCTAAACGCAAACATTTGCTTGTAAAATTGGTCGAATTTAAGACCATGACGTCGAAATACCCTCAGTGCTTCGGAAGGGAAAAGTGAGCCAAGACGTTACATGATGGTGTTGCGCTCCCTGGGAATGTTCATATTCCAAGTACTCTCCAGTTTGCGAACTCGCCGTCGACATTATTTTCTTCTTATAAGCCAAAAAATTGCCAATTGGTAGTGGTCAAAAGAATAGAAAAATAGCAGAATTCACGAAAGTCCAATCATATTGAACTCTAAATCTCCTGGCAATGATTAGCGCTTTTGGTATCAATAAAATTGTTAAAATATATTAAAAAATGTAAAAAAAAACAGTCAATAAATAAGTTAGGGTAAATCAAATAAGTTTGTGGGACACGTCATCGCATGCGTGTACACATAGGCTTGAGGTGCGGCCGTACAACTTCGCGTACTGATTGAGGACAAGAGCACGCAGCCAATAGCAGCTCAGTGCCCTCACTTGTTGTACCAAATCCGCCATGTTGTATGACTGGTTTCCTTCCTGTAAACACTTTATCCGTGATATACGTATTGAATAAGCGTGCTCCGTGCTACATGTCTGTTTCCTTTATGCGTGCTCCGTGCTACACGTCTGTTTCCTTTGCGTACTCCGTGCTACACGTCTGTTTCCTTTATAGCTGGGCGCCCCGTGCTACACGTCTGTTTCCTTTATAGCTGGGCTATAGCAACACGTCTGTTTCCTTTATAGCTGGGCTATAGCTTAGCTGAATTATACGTCTGTTTTCTTTATAGCTGGGCTATAGCTTAGCTAGTTCGGGAGTCTAGCTAGATGTAGGAGAATCTGCCAGAGATTTCTCGGGAGTCTAGCTAGATGTTGGAGAATCTGCCATAGAGACTATCTTGCCATCGAGATTTCTGAGTCAGTCAGGCTTTACTAAGGTGTTTAGCTGGTTCTGGGAGTCTAGCTAGATGTAGGAGGATCTCCCATTGAGATTTCTGAGTCAGTCAGGCTTTACTAGCGTAGCCAGAGATTTCTGAGTTAGTCAGGCTTTACTAGAGTAGCAATATTTCTGAGTCAGTCAGGCTTTACTAGCGTAGCAATCCGTGCTTTCTGAGTCAGTCAGGCTTTACTAAGGTTTCCTTTTAGTCGTGAAATGCGAAAATTTTATCGGATGCTCACTTTGCGCTAAATTAATACAATTAAAAATGAAAATCTCTGGCAATTTTATAAACATTTAGAAAAGCATTACTACTATGATCGCAATTACGACAATTGTGGTAAAATCGGACCGCTTTAGAATTCACGATGTAGATCCTACCGTTGTTAATTGAAGAAATCATATCACGACTTTCAAATGAAGACACGTGGAATCGATTGGCCAGACCTGTTGGTAGCAGATCTGTCCCTCCAGTCAAGCCGAGTAAGGACCACTTAAAAAATTGGAATTATTGATTCAAACAAAATAAACACGCGCGCCTTTACAGCGCAGACAGTGTATATGTCAAGATAAAAATTTTCTTCACCACGAAAAATTCCAGTCAAACTGTCCAATTCAAATCGAAGAATTTCTCTGCGGCCTGCCGCATTCAATCTCGATGAATTCATAGACTCCCTGGCTAATGATCGGTATCAAGGGACCAGATATGTGGACCTTAAGGAGCAAGATATGATCACTTTATGCCAAATGACAAAACATATTATTATGAGTCAATCTATTCTGTTGGAAATAGAGGGTCCAATCAAAGTTTGTGGTGATATCCACGGTCAGTATCGAGATTTACTTAGGCTCTTTGAAATGTGTGGCAAACCTGAAAATGGCAATTTCCTCTTTTTGGGAGACTATGTTGATAGAGGAAAACAAAGTCTTGAAGTTATATGTCTCCTTTTCGCCTACAAGGTCAAGTACCCTTCCACGTTTTTTATACTTCGCGGTAACCACGAGTGTCAAGCTATCTCTCGGATTTACGGATTTTTTGATGAGTGTAAGCGGCGTTACAATGTTAAACTTTGGAGACAATTCCTCGATGTTTTCAACTGCCTTCCAGTAGCGGCAATCATAGAACAGCAAATTTTCTGCTGCCATGGGGGTATATCACCCGAATTTCTCAAACAAGAGTATGCGAATATAGACGTGTTGAAACAGAGAATTCGTGCAATAGCAAGACCAACTGATGTTCCTGAAGAAGGGATCCTATGTGATCTTCTGTGGGCAGACCCTCTGAATCCTGATATGCTTGATCCTGATGCCGATGAAGTTCCGCCTGTTTTCGCGGAGACTGGATTCGGACCAAACGAACGTGGCGTTTCATATGTTTTCAGTCCTGAGGTTGTCGATCGATTTTTGACCAGGTTTGGACTAGATTTGGTGGTTAGAGCTCATCAGGTTGTAGAAGATGGATTTGAATTTTTCGCAAATCGGTCCTTCGTGACTATTTTTTCAGCGCCAAATTATTGTGGCGAATTTGATAATGCCGGAGGCATATTTTGCTTGAAGAAAAATGTTTCTAATAAACCGAATTCTAAAGAGGCTGAGGTTGATCTGGAAGGTAGCTTTATGATCCTCTATCCCGAATATCCTAGAAAATCTACATTTACTATTCGAAAAGGCAGCCCGAATAGAAAGTAAGTTCGACACCAATTATATAAAGATTTGTCGAGTGGCACATATCCTAAACGTCTTTTCAATGTCTTCATGTACACATACTTACATACACTTCACTCTATCACCTATTAGGATAGAATACACAATTGAAAACGCCTAAGCCCCCTTAGGATAGCAATTTCCAATCCTTGACTTGAGTGTACAAATAACCCAACTGGACCTCCCCAGTGCAAATCGGGTCATGTCATCACCTCGAACTCACCGATAGTATGCCTCTAACTTGACGCTCAAGCATCACTACCCTATTTCCAATAAGTATAAAGCACTTATTTACTCATTTTTTATTAAACCATTTAAATCTAACATCTCGCCACCGACAATGTGAAGAAAAATCGTTTGAGACGCAACCACCAATTAAATTACCAAAACAAATATTACGTTAGTTAAATGTAGAGCCAGTATTCTACCTCATATCCACTATTTCTCGATTTAGTTAACTGAATTAGGGCAAATAGCTTGTAGTAAGCAAGACTGTAATATACAACAATTACCTCGCCAACTTTTTTCGTACATTTTAGCTACTAACGACGGAAGGTTCCATTGAAAAAGGGAGAAGTGAAAAAAGAATTAATCGAGCAACAAATTCCTTCATTACTGGAATTGTCTGTTAAAATTGACCCGGAAAAATATATGCAATAATACATTTCCGTTTGTTAATTTTATTTGAACTAATTCATACACCACCACTTGCGTATTCTCAATATTTTTAAATCCTTTAATTACTTTTCAAAGAAATTAATTAATTACTCAGACAAAGATTTTATTCTTTTGGACCAGAAAAAATTTTACTGCGAAAGAAAAGTACCCCCTCCCCCTCCCAGAGAAAAGAAGGAAAGTCCTCGATCGACCTCAAAAATGGACAGAGGCGATGATGACAAGAATATTCCATTTGAGAAGAATTGTGAGGAGTTGGGTGGGCGATTCGGTGGGCAGGAGCACACGGAGATATCGGAGGAAGTTGATTAACTCCTTGAAGGCCTGGGAGGATTGCTCATAGACACAACTTCGGAAAGATATTGCTATGACGTGGATAGAGAGAGTGAAGGACGATAACAAATAGAGTAGTTAAGGGATAATGTGGAAACAGACATTGGTATTGGAGGGAGACATAAATTATACATTTTGTGGGGTGCAATTTCGAGGAGGTCTCTGTGTTGCATTAAATCATTTCCACGATGGGAATGAAAAATTTTTTCGGGTGCGCGAAGGTCCAGCACTTCTTTGCAGGACAAGAACCAGTGCAAGGTACTACAGATCTCTTGTTTGGAAAAGTGCAAAGTGTAAACAAGGTGCACTTAAATTTACACTTTGGGAATACCAACCTCTATTAAGGACAAATGCTTTCCGAAGCTCGCTAACAATCTCATTTGGAAGATTGAAAAAAAACACTCTCCAGGACGATTACTTAATGGTAATAGGGAATCCCCTTGACGCAGAACCTGCGAATTCAAGTTTAGACAAAGCGAAAATGGTCGCTTGTGGAAAACTGAGACGCCTTAAAAGATAGGAATTAAGTTAAAATATAAAAATGTGAGAACACATGAGAGCTGAATCGAAATAAAGTGAGACCCGAAGATGAGTCACGTGACGCTGTGTCAGCTCGAATCACTTCTCCCCAGCACAGTAGAAAACACCCAAATTGCATAACACTGGCAGTCACTTGTCTACACTTAGTCTCAAGAATACTTTAAGCACTTGATTTCCATCACCTTGGGGGAGGGGAGAGGGGTGCATTCGGCTCCTGAGGACTTGATGGAGATAGTGGATAAAGCCATAATCGGTCCTATAACATTTTTTTGGTAAAAATAGCAGTGTAACTACACTTCCGTCTTTTCGCTTTTGGATCCCTTGTGTAACTGGCAGACACCCTAGATCATTGCACCAAAAGTTGATGTCAAAATTACAAGACCTGATCAAGTCATATAACGCGTGTAGCCCTAGTGGAAATAGTGGGGCATAATTAGCAACAGGCAAATTTGCCAGGCGGTGTTTAAATGTTCATGTGCACAAAATACAAATAGGCATTCTAAAATAGCACAAAGTGGAAAAGTGCATATTTACATTTGATAAAGGAAATATTTGACCTTTCTTTGGAAATGAAGGCTTTTTTGCGCTTGGAAAAAAACACGCAGGCAATAGTGAGGACTATGCCAACAGCAGCAACACCGGAGACTGCGAATTGCCACTCTGTGCGAAATTAAATGCAACTATTATGGTCCTTGACCACTTCCACTTTAAAGGGCTTTAAATTCTAATCATTAAAACGCCGAAGTCTTTAACAGGGGGTGGGAAGGAAATCTACTTGGATAAAGAAATTACACTCATATATATAAATAAAATAAATTATGAATTTACACTGTCTATCCACTTCTTAAATCTATGTAGAAATTAAAGGCTTTTGTTAATGGTTCAAGGCGCAAGCATGAGTCTTGAAATGATCAAACAAGTGAGGAACTTCGGCCTTGGCATTTAGTTTGGATCGCCCTACGATTCAATGTAAGCATTCTCTAGACTAAATAAACTGATTGACGAATGTCACCTCCTCGCCTCCTCGACTAAAACTCGAGTGCAATTTATCGATTTCATTCGCTTCTACCTCACATGGTGACACGCACAACCAATCGGCTTATTTCGCACGCGCGTGGTTGTTAGGCTCCCTCCTCTAAACTTTCCATCAACATTCAGTAGCGTACTCTCTCTGGCACACTTCTCAGTTGAGAACAATGGATGTCAACTTTCAGCTCTTGGTACATATTTAACTTGACGACTAGTGTCGGTGGGCACAATAAATATTCCTGAAAGATTTCTAACCCAATCGTTCAACCGAAAGCCATCAACATTAATGCCAACGGAATTTATCATCCCTCCCACGAGGATATCGGGATCAACAGGGAACAATTCGTGTGATTCATAATTGAAATGCGATTATTTCATACATTGTTCTAGTAAAAGGCTGTAAAAAATTGAGCGTCAAGTCAAAATAGCAAATATTTTTTGTCCATCTATTAACAGAAATCTGATGGTCGTAACATCTGGAACAAGCTTTTGGAACGGTATGGTTTTAGATGGCTGAGTAGCGGCAATTTCTAGTTGTTATTGACAAAAGTAGTGTCATCTAATAACGGAGTTAACTATTCTCGTGTAAGATATTGGATTTTAGGAGGTCAGATAGTAGTTGGAAACAGATTGGAGAATTCTGCGAATTGTGGATACCTGCACCTTCAGTAGCACGGTAGTTTGTCGAAACACATCATCTATAATTAGCCAGGGGCTTCTACTTTCAGAAATTAAAGAACCCCAGACCCAAAGGGGAAAAAATTCTCGTAGTGGCATGTTTAAAGGCCAAAAATATGAATCACCCGATAGACGCAAAAAACTCCCGACTGACAAGTATCCCCAGACCCGGCGACTGGACAGAAAGGTCAGGCTAACCACATAATCCACACCACACCACCCCAACCCCCCCCCCACACACAAATCGCTCAGAATTCACACAAGTGGTTAGTGGCAAGGAATGAATTTGAAATACAGAGTAGATACACACATATATATAACGCCATGGGAAATGGAAAAGAGTAGAGGAATAACATGAGAGAATGGGGATCATTTCTTTAAAGAAAAGCAAAGCTTTGGACGAACCCGTTTCCGATTCAAGATGATCTCTTGTTCTCGCTTAATTCGTCTCTGTTCCTCAGCCTCTTGTCTCTGTTTTTCCTCCAGCTTTCGTAATTCTTCCTCATACTGTTTCTGCCTTATCTCTTCCTAATTAAATAAAAGAAAATAATAAGCTCCGTTTTCAAAATAGTAAGATTTCTTCGTAAAATGGTGCTACTTATAAATTACGAGTAGAAAGGAAATTAAGCGATCGCGTAATTCTCCGAGCATTTTGGCAACTTGTAGGAAGAAGACTAGCAATTGAACAAAATAAGTAAAATACCTATCAATGGCGTACCCCTTTGCAGCCTTTGAGAAATTCGCTGAAAGCTGATCACTGCATTCAGAACTGGATTAGATGCAAGACAAAAAAGCAAATAGCAGCAAATAAGGCGAGACGAAGAGATAATCTTACCTCTTTTCGTCGAAGTTCACTTAATTCTTCTTCACGTTGTCGAGCCAAACGTTCATTTAGCTCTTTGAGTTGGCGCTCTTCCTCCTAAGCACAAAATAAAATGATATGTAAATACTGAGTAAAAAGAAAAGAATAGCGATTTACTGGACAGCCGTACCTCTTTTCGGAGTCTCTCTTCCTCTTCTTCGCGGGCTTTTCTTGCAGCCTCCTCATTTCGGCGTCTCTCAAGAGCTTCTTGCTCAATTGCAACGCGCCTTTCGATTTCTGCATTAAATTCAGCCTCTCTTTCTTTAAGTAAAACGGCAAGCTCAGCTTCTAAGTATCTTTCTAGTCGTCTTGCCACTTCCTCCTCAAGAATTTTTGACTCTGCCCATTGTTGACGCCTGAAGTGGTTTAAAAAGAAATAAATCGGAAGGAGAAATACTGCAACTTAGCGAAAAATCACGAGGTTTACTTACGTAATCCTTTCCTCTTCGGCTCTTTTCTCATCTTTCTTACGCTGTTCTTCCAAGCGTTCCTTCTTAGATGTTCCATTTTCAACAGCATCTCGAGATTCACTTTCACTGCTACTTGAACTATGCGCACGCCTATTAATTTATTGTAATGTATTTCATTCCTTTTACTTTGCCTTATGTCGAGAATAAGATTTGATCTCCCCATCCTCAACTTTAGCCATATTGAACAGAGTACCAAAGCAGGTCAGCAATAAAAGGCTGAATGTGCGCTCACTTTCAATTGGGCAAAGCAATCTAAGTGGATAAAAAATATTCGCTTAATAAATTTATAAAACAGTTAGTTTGTTCTTATTCATCAAAATATTAAAACTTAAAATTATTAATTAATTCGATATACATACAAGTAAAATATTTAATAGGCACATAACACGTTTTTTCCAACTACAGCTAAAAGGATTCTATTGTACATCTACTGGCACATATTTCTAAAGTGATGTTATTTTGCATAATTCTCATTAGTTTCCTACTTATGCATTTATTCATCTTTTAAGCCATGATGAATCGAAACTGTATTTGGACATGTTCAATACACAAACGTGTATTATACTTTCATATGGAAACTCAGCATTTAATGCTTTCCATGTTTTGGTTCTTATTTCTACTGGCTCATCCTAAATTGGATGTGGGAGAAAGCATACGGAATTGTTGACGGTGAATAAAGTTTATGCACATCTTTGGGACTGTGACAGAAAGTTGAAATCGTGAATATGAAACTCAGATATATAGCATATTAGCGTTGTACTTATAGCCATCCAACAGACTGTGCAGTGCTACGTATTCTGTGCCCATAATGCACTCACCAAATCTGACCGATCAATGATCGGTTGTGGAAGCAGTGCATTACTCAGCTCTTTCTAGTGGCTTTGTAATATGAAATACTTCATCTGTTGAATAATTATCTTCATATTTACAAAATGAGTTTAGTTAGCATTCTCTTCCACCATATTTTCTTACAAAAATTATGTGTATGGGAAAGAGTAATTTATTTTTAAATGTACAAGAAAGATGGCAAAGGATTGCTAAGAGTATCAAACGAACTGAACTCTTCTAGTAAGAGTATGCCGAACTTCCGGGGTTTGTTGAAATATTGTTCCCCCATCGTTATCTGTGGACTCGGCTTCTCGGAAGACTTTTTCAGAGACTTCTCTATGCACAGAGGTGACGATATCTAGGAGGCTTCTTGACTTTCCATACAGTTCCAAATAATGACACAGTGTTTGGATATAAATTGAGCCTTGTTGAGGATCTCTCTGAGCTTTAAAGCCGGCCAATGTAGCATAACTCAACAGAAAGTCGGCGAAACTTGGAACTAGCCGTTGTTTCTTCGGTAATTTGGCGGCTGCAATAGCAGGTTCTTCGTCTATATCCTCAGCCTCATTAGATTCTAGCCTTGAAGATCTGAATTGAAGAGGATTCAAAGAGGAACTGCCTTGATGCATTGATAGTTCACCTTCGCTGGCTCCATTTGCAGGCACAGCGTAGCCCAACTGGTAGTCATCACCGCGACAAGCTTGAATGAAGAAGAGCTTTGGTTTGCCGGCTAAAGAGGGGCACTTTTCAGCCGTAAAATCGAGAGTCAACTGATGCACGGGAAAAGCATCACCATTGACGCCGTAAAGCTCACCCAATCCTCCATGCGTCATAATTACAGCCACGAAGGCGTCATACGCGGAATGGTCGGTTTTGCGACCAACATAGGCCAATTCTGACTGCATCTCACCGGAGGAAAGATTTCGGAAAACCTTGACCATGAAGCCAAGATCGCAAAACACCTTCTCTGCACGTCTTTCATCCCTGTCACATCCACCGCGATTCTATAAAAGTTAAATTATTAACTAATTAGCCACTTTTAGTTTTAAATTTTACAGATAAATACAATTATAAATATACTTAAAAAATAATGCTATTTATGAAAACTACAAGGCATTTTCGATTTCTTTCGCAGTTGCCGTGTGGGAAAAATTATATTGATATCTGCCGCAGAGGTGGATTTATGTAATTGAACGTCTGGAGCAAAATGGGATCACGGTAAACATCTAGAAGGGCATATTTGGCCAGACTGAAATCGATTTCCTTGGCCATCACATTGGCGCATGCGGAATTTCACCTCTGCTAGAGAAAATCGGCGATGTCTTCGTCGTTTCCTAGATGTAATTGACTATTACGGCAGATTTATTTCTAACTGTGCTCAAATCCTAGAGTCTCTCACAGATTTGCTCAAGGGCAACCGGACACATTTCACGGTAACATCGGAAGCCGAATCAGCGTTGGCTGCAATGAAACAATAAGCACATTCGAAGACCCCTCTCCAGTTTCGGCATATACATGTGGATATGGAGGTCCCCTTCTCCTGCCAACCTCTGCCACTCACATATTCCCTTAAGCGATAGTGAAATCTCGAATGTCCCTATTTGTGCCCCCCCCCCACCACTCCCCTCCCCCGCAATCACAGCAGACAGAGGATGATAGTTCACTTCTGCCCTCTTTCGGAAATAAGACATCTCCTAGGTTCAACACACATCCGAACTACAGTCTATCACCCAGGTGGCAATAGTCTCGTTTGAAAACTTTCATCACTATAATCGCAACTACTTCTAAATTAACTTAGCCTGAACGTTTTCCAATTATTCAACCTACAAAGTAAAAAATCCGTTAAGGGTGGCCTTGGAAGCTGCCTGGTGAAATGATTCTCGACTCAAATGGCAAAGAAACTATAGACCCCTCTGTTTTGTTCCGTTAAACAAAAAGGCTATTTTATATCTATCCACCCTTAATCCACTTGTTTTTTTGTTCAAGTAGATTCAGTAAGGAAACTTTTCATAGTTCTGAAGAGCGAATCCACTTATTTCATACTCGATCACAACAGTACTAATGAATCAGCAACAAAGCCGGCATACCTACACCCTCCTAATACCAGTCCTCGGCCACAAATACTGTTAACATTACTATGCCAAAATCTTGCACATCTCGACCCACGGTTTCTCGCACTCTTTGTGGTCGAAAGGCTACTCTCCCTTCTTGAGTAGTCAATTATGTGTAGCAACTGATCATCAAGCAACCTAACAGCGCTCCAGAGAGGGAATATTGTGGAGAGCACATCCTAACACGATTGAACACGTGGGGCAAAGGTGAGGAGTGCGGGGACCTCCCAGACACTTAACAATCAATAGTCACAGCATGGTCAGGGCTCCGTGTCAGTGACATACAACTCGAATAAGCATCATCCACATCAAACATCTGTTTCCTCTTTGAAGTTGAGGCCAAAGCCATGTTTGCTCAGCAATCCCACTAGAGAATATGTAAACTTCTAGTTTTTATTAAAGCAAATGAAATGAAGGGGAGACGAGAAACCTGGAATTTGGGATGCCAGTAGGTCATGTTGTTGATGACAACACAGATGCCTCGTTGGGGACTGGCCATCGGATAGTAATCGGCCGGATCCATCAAACTCATCTTCCGACGGCTCCTCTGGGAAATGGGACGAGAATGATGCGTCTGAAATGAAAGTGAAAAGCATAGTAGTGAAAAAAAAATTAAATATGATTGAATTAAATTTGCCAAAATACAATGAATCGAAGTAGAAATGAAATTTCTTGGCATTTCATTGAATGTTAGGGATAGTTCGCACAGGTTATTCACCATTTTATTAATAATAATTCTAATATCCTTCCAACCAGTCAGTTATCAATCTTCCTGAAGTGTGGTGTTCATTGCATTATCTACTAAACTCCCCCCCCCCCCCCCCGCATGATACTTTCTGTATTCTCGATACTTTAGACGGAGGTAGCTTGACTTCCTGCGAATGCATTACACAACCCTCGGCTGCAAAGAATTTTGTGTTTCCCATCATAAGCTAAATCGATCTCCCCCCCCCACCCTTCCCCCCTCCC